CCTCGTCGCTATCCTCGAGGATGATGATGTCGCCCTCGTCACGGCCGCGGCGCCTAGTGGCGATCTCCTCGAGGGCTCCGCGCTGGCGCTCCATTTCCTCGCGGACGTAGTCGTCCCGCGCCCATTTGAGGTCTGTCTAGAGGTTGGCCGCCATGTCGACGTGCTCCTGCTTCATGACGACGGGCGGCATCGCCGACTCCTTCTTCAGCCTGACCAGGCAAAGATGGCTGCCGGGAGGAGGGGAAGGCCGCTGCGGCTGCGCTGACGCTCCGGCATCTCCATGGGCTTGGCCTTGACGGTGGCGAGCGGCGCCGTGTTGGAGGAGCGGGAGGAGGAGGATGAAGAGGAGGCGCCCGCCATGCGCCTCAGCAGCCAAGAGTTGCCGCTCCGGCGGGAGGACGTGGCCGCCGAGTACTCCAGTGGCGGCTTGTTGCCGCCCTCAAGGTGCTCGAGGACGGCGTGGAGCATGCGCCTGGGGACGCCCACTACAGGCGACGGCCGTCGGTGTTGTGGCGCCCCCTTGGTGCCGGCGCGTTGTTGGTGGAGGCGAGTTGCTCCTCGTGACGGCGTTGGAAATACGTTGTCCACAAAATGTGGTTGTCGACAGCGTACTTGGGAAGGTCCCGCACCTCCTCCGGCAGGGACGCCCGAACGCGCGTGATCTCATCGTGACGTTTGGCGTCGGTCGGCGACGGGGGGACGGGGACGCCTCCGGCGCTGAGCCTCCACAAGCTCGCGACCCGCATGTCCGGCGGCGCCGAGTAGTTTGCCTCGTGGAGGAGGTGCGCCTCCCACTCGTGAAGGTGGCGGCGACCGAAGCCGTTGGCCGCCGCTCCTTCGCGGGGGAATCGCTTGGCCATCAGCGGCTTGAGACGGGGAGAGAGAGCAGCGAAGGAGAGAGAGGCGTCGGCGATGAAGGAGAGAGAGGCGTCGACAGCGAGAGAGAGGGGCTGTGGCGAGGGAATGTGCGGCCAACAATGAGGAAGAATGGATTTTATAGCGGTGGGTGGGCGGCAGTCGTGTGGACGCGTGGCGGGAGGGGGCGGGATGCGCGGCAGCGCGCCTTCACTGCGCCGCCCATGAGGAATCAATGGAAGACCGACCGGCGGCAGCCTTCGCATTGATTCCCGCGGGAAACCGAGGCGATGAGGACGATGAAGGCGCCCAGTCGCTGACTCGGCACGTCCACATATTTTCGTGCCAGATTCGTTTTCGACACCCCCAGCGCGTCATATTCGGCCTTAACCGATGAAAATTGGGCTCCTAGGAGCGCGAATGGGCCGATTTTTTCCCAGCCGGCATAAAAAAGAGACCTAGGGGGGCTGTTGGGGGCGCGAGTGGAGATGCTCTTAGGGCGCAACTGGTTCTGTTACAGACTAATCTATACACACACGTCTGCCGCCTTGATTGTCTGCCACGTGCTCGTGGTCCTGCATGACACGTCACCCAACTTACCCCCCCCCTAATGTTTGACGAGACTTGTCTGCGCCCCGCGCGTGTGCCCATCCGTACTCCCGCGTATACTCCCGCGTACGTGGCTTGATTTGATTGGAACAAAAAAGGCCCGGACTCGCCCCACTAAAATCAGGGGGATAACTAGATTAGCAAGGAAAAAGGAAAAAAAAACAGTCGTAGGATGAAGCGGGAGCACGGATGGGCGCACGCGCAGGGCACAGGCAAGCCGGATCCCCTAATGGACGAGACTTGCCCGCACCCCGCGCGTGCGCCCATCCGTACCCCGCGTACGTGGCTTGATTTGATTGAAACAAAAAAAGGTCCGAGCCCACCCCGATGAAATCAGGGGAGATAATTAGATTAGTAAGGAAAAAAATAGCCGTAAGATGAAGAGGAAGCACGGATGGGCGCACGCGCGGGACGCAGGCAAGCCGGATCCCCTAATATTGTAATCTCTAATGTTATCCCTCACCTCACCCTCTAGTCACACCGATGGGGCAGGCCAGCCTAAAGGTACATGCTGGTATGTGGAGTGATTTCTTGTCGGCTCGTTCGTCCTGACTCTTGTAAAACATATATTTTTCTAATATTCAGTGGGAAATCTTTCCTCTTCCGGTGGCAGTTTCAGAAAAATATCCTAAATGTGTGATATTTTTCATTTATAACGCTCTCTTTCATGGGTTTGCTAATTTGATTACTAGTTGGAGTATTATGCAATTTATTTTTAATAAATACATTTTAACTATACAATAATTAAATATAATATGCAACATTTTTTAATTTTACTTCATATATTATTAATCAAAATATTCATATTGACTGACTCCAATAGCACCACGTGGGGTAACATCTACTCCCTCTGTCTTAGAATGGTCCCAGAATGTAAGACCTTTTTTGACTTTAGTGTCTACTCCCTCCGTCTTAGAATGGTCTCAGAATGTAAGACATTTTTGACTCTAGTGTCTTACATTATAGGACAGAGAGAGTATTATACCTGTATTACAAACAATCTACCAGAGATGCTCTTACAGTTTGAGGGCACTTCATTAGTGGAGAGACCTATCAAGAGTAGAGCGCGAAGATTTTTTCTCTTTCCTCATCCACAAGAAAAGATTCCATGCTTTCCTCCCCTTCTTGTCGGTGCCGTCGTCGGTCCGTCCCATCTCCTCCTCCCATCGGCGCCTCTGCCGGTCTGCCCCATCTCCGATGGCCTTCGGGCCATGGAGGTGCAGACCTCGGCCCCTCGCCGGCGCGAGGGACCCCGTCTCGTTCTTGTTTGGTTGAGCGTCTTGGTTGGGGTTGTGTGATGGCGGCGATGCTCTTCAATATGAATAATGCCTCCCATGTTCTATCACATACGGAAAGGGCTAACCCCCCCTCCCGTGTCGCTCCTGCGAGCGACCCGGAAGGGAAACCCTAGCCGCCGTCTCAGTCCTCCCTCCTCCTCTCCTCTTCTCCTCGCCGCCGCCGGAGCGTGCTGACGGGCGAAGCCCGCCGGCGTCGGCGTCGGCGGGGCCCTTACTTCCTTCGCTCGGTGGTGGCTGGCGCAGGCCGCCGGCGGCGGACGTGGCGTCGCGCTGACGAGGGGCGTGGCGGCAGGCGCTGGCGGCAGGGTCGCGAGTGCGTGGCGACGGCGTGGTGGGCTTCGTGGGCGCTCGCGCGTCCTTGGCAGGAGCGGCAATGGCCTAGTCTGGCTCGGCCAGATCTGCTGCTTGGTGGCCAAGGATGGCGCGGGGTGACTCCCGGCGGGGCGCGGGCGCGTCTGCTGCTGCTCGCGCGGCTGCCGGTGGCCGGTGTGTGAGGCCCGGCGGAGCACCTCCCGTCACCGTCTACGGGGCCGATCCTGACCATCCGGGCGTCCTCGTCGTTGGGCGGGTGTCCGGCTTGCTCTTCGCAATCTGTCTGGAGGCCGTGGTGGGGTGTTGCAGGGGGCAACGTGAGGAAGCTGGCTGAAGGGATGGGTGGTCTGCCCACCCGTCATCGGCATGGGCGTGTGCCAATCGAGGTCTCGCACCGCTCCGCCCCTTCCTCTTTCCCCTGGCCTGGTTGCCTCCAGCCCCATCTGTCGAGGCTTGTCGGCGCTGGCGGCTCTGACGCTGTTAGGGGTCTGCTGGTGGTGGAGATTCGCTCCTCTGGGCGGCCATTGGGGGTGTCGGGTGGCAGGGCGGCGGCTCTGCGGTGGGAGCTGTGATGTTCATGGGCGGATCTCGTAGCTCAGGTGCGGACTGGCGGCCCCGGTCGCGTGGGCGGCGGGGTGGCTCTGGCATGGCGATCCGTGGCAGTGGTGCGGCAGGCCTCTCGGCCGGGCGCACCCTGATCGGAGGTGGAGTGGTATGCCGGGGTGAAATCCCAGTTTGACCGTGGTCAGACCGACGGTGGTGGCGTCCGCGGGCGTCATCCCCTTCTTGTAGGCTCTGTCGCGGTCTCTCCTGATCCTCCGTGTTGCTCCTGATGAAAATCTTGATCCTTTGGATCGGGTGGTGGCGATGCAATGGTGTCGTGTCCTTCCTGGAGGCACTACCTTGGGGCGCACGGTTCGTCGGCGGTCAGCTACGTTCTTCAGGTGGCTTCTTCTCTGTGGCGGGCTCCGTCATCTTCGTAGTGATGCTTGTTGTATATTTGTTGTTTGCTTCGAGTTGGCGTAGCTGATCTTCGGCACCGCTGTATCTTGCTTTGGGTGCGTGCGTTTGGGGTGTCGTGTTGTATGGTTCAGATGTATGAGGTTCGGTGCTTTATATATAAAGCGGGGCGAAAGCCTTTTTCGGTGTTCTATCCCATATGGATGGTGCGTCTAGTATCGTTGGAGGGCATGCGGAGGTGTGTCTCTCTTGGATCTCGGGGGATTCGGTCTGTGCTGGTCTTTGGTGGATCTTTTTGGATCCGGTCTTCGTTCGTATTTGTATGGGTGTTTATAGGTTTATCCTTTTGATCTACCACTTTCTGCATCGGCGATGATTGTTGCTCCGTGTGTTGGTCCTATGGGGCCTTAGCACGATGACTTCTCGATTGTCTGCCAAAGGTTCGCCAGGCTCTAGCGCACGAGGAGTGATGACGGTGGCGTGCCTACGGCTCGTTCCAATGCTTGTAGTCGTTGCTAGATGGTCCACGGACCTGACTTTAATTTACCTTTAGTGTTCTTTGCAGTGCCATAATAGAAGATGAATAGATTGCCTACACAAAGAAAAAAAGATCCGTTGCAGTTTAATATGCTGGTTTTTATTCTATTTGTAAAAAAAAAAAGTGAACGAGATGCAGGTATACGTGCTCGGTCGCTATAGGATTCACGAATTTGAGGATATTGATATATACGTATATGTTTCCGTTCTGGTGCACCGAACGACATGAAACCCGGTCGAAGCCGTATCGAAACGTATCCGTATGTATCTCTTCTTTACAGTTCGTTTCCATGTCGACTCGGATTTCCTTTCCCTCTTCCATATCGAGCTGGGCACCTGCTCTATATATTACCACATAGGTACACGTACGACGCAGCTTTTATCTCTGCACTACCACCGGCACATGAGCAGATCAACTCCAACCAAACCATGACCTCGACTTTGCTGCCTTCTCATCAGTGGGCCGACCTCCTGCCGGATCTCCTAGGACGGATCATCGCCCGCCTCCCACGCCCCGACGACCGTGCCCGCTTCCGTGCCGTGTGCCGTCCATGGCACCTCGCCGTGCGCCAGCATAATCGTCCACAACTGCCGTGGATCATCTACTCGGATGGCACCTTTGTCACCTTCCCCGATCATGGTATTCACCATGGCCTATCCTTTCCCGACAACACAAGCTTCATCGGTGTCTATCACAGCTGGCTAGCCTTTTACCGCACCGTCGGCAAGAGACGTACCTATCTCTTGCATAACCCCTTCACCAAATCAACATTGTCACTCCCAGGCCTGGACTCTGTCATCAACGACACCTCTCATTGGTTTGAGGTTCGGAAGGTACTCATGCGGTCACCCAAAGATGATATCGTCGTGGTGACAACCAACAATTGTAATTACCCGATCATCTTGTGTCGCCCTGGGAAACCCGGCGCATGGTGGCCTGGACGGGGAGAGATGCCTTATGCGTCTATATTTGATGTCGTGTTCCACGGAGACAGCCTATGTGGGGTCACTAAGCACAATGATCTTGTTGTGATGGATATCGGTGAAGATGACGACGGAACCCCCACCGTTAAAAGTGTAAAGTATGTTATCGAACACCCACCAGTTGATCATGATGATGATGATGATGATGAGGCAGACGAGTATGAAAGCGATGGACAAGTGTCTAGCAATGATGGTGAAGAAGAGTCGGAGTACAACGAGGCATCAAGCATTGATGAGGAGGATGAAGAGTTGGGCGAGGCATCGCTTGCCAATGACGACTCTGGCGGTGATAAGGCATCATCAAGGAACAAATTGGCGAACACAGACAACAACTTCAACAAGGATGACCATCAAGAGGTGTTGAGCAACGAGGACGAAGAAGACGTGGATGATTATGATGAAGGGTTGCATATTTTAGATGAACCCGAGCCTGACAACACGATACAAAACTCCTTAGAGTACCAGGTTCCGGACGGCACCGAGCAAATCAGTTATGTACCCAGAGAAGCAACGGATGGCATCGTGGCCAGTCGGCATCTCTTTGAGTCAAAGGGCAAGGTACTTATGGTAAGGCGGCAACAATACATGCCCGTCCTCTCTCGTGGCTACAATATGAAGGTTGAGGTCCTCGAAGCGGATGTCAAAGCTGGCGTATGGATTCTGTTGACTGCCGGTGTGTCGGGCACATTCTTTGTGAGCAAGCATTACTCAAAACATGTCTCGACGTTTGAAGATGCAGGGATGAAACTGAACTGTCACTTTGAAGATGAGCACGATGTGGGCGTCGATTCGAATTCTGAACTATTTACTCCATGGGAGGGCAAGCCGACGTGGTTCTTCCCTCAAGAGCTGGTTGTATGACGGTGTTGACAATGGAGGTGTAGAACTGTAAATCATAGTAGATGAAACTGAACTGTCGACTTTTTTACGACACAGCAAAAATTCCTTAAATTCCCTGCATTTTTTTTTGTTGCTTCCTTGTTTTTCCGATCAACGTCATCATCTTTTGCACTTTATGCAGAAAGACAGCAGATGATTTTTTTTTGTAAGGAGCAATTTGATTGGTGCAAGTCAGGAGTGGTGAGCCATCTTTTTGGTTGGATTAATTCAACCCTTTTGGGGCACTAGGTACTGGGTATCCACTAGATATGGATGGCAAAGAGCAAAAGGACATTTATATTTGCTTTGGAGGTGAAAAATGAAGCATTAATTAATTCGCATAATCATGTGAGTGAAGCACGTCTGGATTTTTATGTTTGTCTGTCTGTCGCGCGTGCCCCGTCCTTATGCATGCTTGCTATCCGCAAATCTCGGGAGAGGTTGGGACAGGCCCTTCTCTGATGAAAATCTCGGGCGGTGAAGAAGAGGCCTGTCACAGCCAAAATTCTTCACATAGCTCGCCGCGTTCCGTCCCCTGATAAAGAAACTTTAGCTAAATTGTGTGCTTTGAGGTTGCACAGCAAGTTACCTAGCCCAGTCGGTTACTGAGTCTGGGATTAAATGGTGACGTTCTGAGTTTGAATCTCACCACGCGCATCATTTTTACTACACGTAACAAAGCCCTTCGGGCATTTCTAACCGATCCCCTGACTGGCACCTAGCCGACCCCAATCTGCCGTTAATTGAGTATTGTGTTGTGGTTTTTAAAGAAAAGAATGAGAGAACCCAGAAGGAAAAAATGTGACGCGAGAAATCAAGGGGGCACATGTCACAAATCTAAGGGCTCTCGCCAGCGGCAGTTCCACGCCCATGTACCAAGGGCGTTGCATGCTCTCCAGCGCCATGGCCATCCTCATCCATTGAGCACCAAATTCCTCACAAGTTCCATCGACAAGTTATGATAAATCCTAAATATGCAAGGGTTGCAGCTGAGGAGATGATGGAACAGAGGATTTCAAGTTGCAGCAAGGGAAACAACAGCACGTACCTCAGTAGCAATGGTGACTGGAGAGCTCGCAACAATTGATCATAGATGCCCTTTGCTTCAGGTGTCACGTACCTACTTGTTAGAAATAATAACAAAAATGTTTGTTTAGTCAGACATCATATACGAGCCAAGAAAATACTTGCCGCTTAAGTTGAGTGCATCTAGAAAGAAAACAGTGTCATCAAAAGAGGCCTCAAGGTGAACACAAAATTGGAGACATGGGAACACTAGAATTGCTCGTCCTCTCTTGCTTTTTTTTTGTGATGAGGAACAATAGAATAGCTGATGGTCCAACAAGAAGAAAAATGGAGAAAGAAACTATGAACTGGAAACCTTAGGCTCGAAGCAATGAACAGCAGATCTGGAAGCAGTTAAGAGAGCAACACAAATACTAGAGTAGAAGAGTGTATGGTCAGCAGATCTTGAAATCAAAGTGAGCTTCCAGGCATGTTGGGCCAACCAAAATTGTGATAAATGACTAGCCATTTCTTACTAAATTTCATGTGCATCCAAATCGTTAGCTTGATAGCCCGAAACAAGAAACATAAATCGAGGCTATGATCTCAATCTAGCTGAAGCAGTTGGCCACATTTATCCATAAAAGAAAAGTAGGCTAATTTTACAAAGGGAGACAAATCAAGAAGCACCAATCTGGGACTCTCCCCAGTTTGGAAACCTTTGCTTGCATCCTCAATGTTCCATCACTATTAAGTACTCCCTCCGTCCGAAAATACTTGTCATCAAAATAGATAAAAAAGGATGTATGTAGAACTAAAATACATCTAGATACATCCCATTTTATTCATTTTGATGACAAGTATTTCGGGACGGAAGGAGTAGGTCTTACCAGTTCTTAAGGTATGCAAGCAGACACGACGAAGCAAAGCAAATAAGCTCATTTCTCTGTGTATCCCAAACAGTTACTGCTAAACTAAGAGAACTCTGAGCAACTTCAGTGCCATGATAATCCGTTTCAAATAAAAATATATGCAGAGGAAACTAAGTACCATAGCAGAAACTAAGTGGTAAAATGACTGGATTGAATACAATATGGACGACTACTAAGCTACTACCTGTGCCAAAATATAAGACATTTTTGCAATTTTGGTTGAACTGCAAAAACGTCTTATATTTTGGCACAGATGAGTAAGAAAAAAGAGGGCATGAAACTCAATGCACAGCAAGATAGCATAAATGTCACCGCTTATCCTCTTGTTACTAGACATACTGCTAGTTACACTCATTTGGTTACATCCATTAGACGTACCATATGGCTCCAGTGTTTCCTTTGATATATAAGCATATGAAACTACCACATACTCATTTCACAACATCCAAAAACTGAAGTACCAATACATTCCAACAAAATCTCATCTCATGAGAAAAAGTAAACCATGATCACTGCAAAGAGGCTACTTTTCATTAGGCAACGATCTAGCCATAGGCAAGATCTCGGCGACTTCCCCTCGTGCATTTCCCATCAAGAAACTAATGCTCACTTAGACCTAGAAGGATGGCTCGAGCTGTAGAGGATAGCTGGTGCATACGGAGAAGTGAGGCAGAGAAGCAAAATGCGGGAGAGCAAGTAAATTGGTGGCCCAGCGGTGAAGGAAAACAATGGTGACACCCAATGGTTTGCATCGGCGGTAGCGGCGAGCCCTCGGGGTTGTAGGCATGAGAGGTCGAGACAGAAACACAGTGTCACGCCCAATATGCGACCCTATCCAAGAGAAACTCGAAGGTTCCACCAAGGATAGACCCGCATATTGAAACGCTTTTGCAAGGTGGATATCATTACATCAACATTACATAAATAGTTGGAGATACATACAAAAGGCATACAATGCCACATGAATACAACAATACATCATACATAAGAGCACCATCCGACTATGGATGAAACACAAACAGAAACTCAAACGACATCCACCCTGCTAGCCCAGGCTGCCAACCTGGAACCTATCCCCTGATCGAAGAAGAAGCAGAAGAAGAACTCCAAAACAAGCAAACATCGCTCTCGCGTCATGATCATCGCATAACCTGCACGTGCACCTGTTGTTGTAGTAATCTGTGAGCCACGAGGACTCAGCAATCCCATTACCATGGGTATCAAGACAAGGGGTAAAGTGGAGAGGTTGCCGCAGCGACTAAGCATATATGGTGGCTAACATACGCAAATAAGAGCGAGAAGAGAAGCAAAGGAACGGTCGTGAAGCTAGCAATGATCAAGAAGTGATCCTGAACTCCTACTTACGTCAAACATAACCCAAAACCATGTTCACTTCCCGGACTCCGCCGAGAAGAGACCATCACGGCTACACATGCGGTTGATGCATTTTAATTCGGATCTGGTGTCAAGTTATCTACAACCGGACATTAACAAATTCCCATCTGTCACATAACTGCGGGCACGGCTCTCGAAAGTTTATACCCTGCAGGGGTGTCCCAACTTAGCCCACGATAAGCTCTCGCGATCAGCGAAGGATATTCCTTCTCCCAGGAAGACCCGATCAGTCTCGGAATCCCGGTTTACAAGACATTTCGACAATGGTAAAACAAGACCAGCAAAGCTGCCCGATGCGCCGACAATCCCGATAGGAGTTGCACATATCTCGTTCTCAGAGCAACACCGGATAAGTCAAGCTACGAGTAAAACTAGACCTCGAGTTGCCCCGAGGTGGCCCCGCAGGCTGCTCGGTTCGGACCAACACTTAGACAAGCACTGGCCCGGGGGGGGCTATAATAAAGATGGCCCTTGGGTTAATTACTCCCTAGGGAAAAGTAGGTGGTGGTGAGGCAAATGGTAAAACCAACGTTGGGCCTTGCTGGAGGAGTTTTATTCAAAGCGAACTGTCAAGGGGGTCCCATAAATCACCCGGCCGCGTTAGGAACGCAAAATCCGGGAACATAACACCGGTATGACAGAAACTAGTGCGGCAAGAGTGGAACAAAACACCAGGCATAAGGCCGATCCTTCCATCCTTTACCAAATATATAGATGCATTAACAATATAAGAGATATTGTGATATCCCAACATAACCCTGTTCACCATGGAGCAATCTTCAACTTCACCTGCAACTAACAACGCTATAAGAGGGGCTGAGCAAAGCGGTAACATAGCCAAGCAATGGTTTGCTAGGAAGGGTGTCAAAGGTTAGAGGTTCATGGCACTTTGGGAGGCTTGAAGAGCAAATGATAGGTAGCGTAGCAAAGTGATAGAACGAAGCAACTAGCATAGCAATGATAGTAGTGAGATCCAGGGTAGCGGTCATCTTGCCTGAAATCCCGCTAGGAAGAAGAACGAGTCCATGAAGAAGATGAAGCCACGAAGACGAACCAAGTGTAGACGAACGAATCCTCACGATCGCAATGAAACGGGAACTATCGAGAAGAAGCACACAACATGGTAAACACACCACACATAGACAAGACATGATGCACAACCAAGCATGATGCATGAAAAAGCTAGATGAGGCTACTCATGGCAAGAGATGATGCAAACAAGAACAACACATCAAGGCAAGTTTAAATGAGGCCGGAAACAACATATAACAATTCCGGTAAGTCCTCATATGCAAGTTTTAAAGGTGGTCCAGAACTGAATAAACATTAAGTTGAAGTTGTTAAACAGCAAGTTAAAGAGCACCAAGAGAATCTACACGAAATTCTAGTCAAGTTACATATAAAGTTCATTAGATTTGGAGCTACGGCCTAGAAGATATGAGAAAAACAAGTTAAGCATGGCATTGATGCAAAATGCATACAAACATCAAGAAAACACCTCAAAACAAGGATGCAACATGATAATATGAAGCTACATGCAAAATCAAGCAAGTTTCATATATATAGCACACTCAAAATGGAGCAACGGTTCAACACATACACACTATACAAGATATGACAACAATCTGTCCATAACAGCAACTAGGCATC